GGGAGGGGGGGGGGGGGGGGAGGGGCCAAAGCAGGGAGGCCGAAGGAGAGCCTGGCGCCTGGACGCGGCGCTCTGCATGCACGCGCGCGTTGAGAAGCGCCCGCTGCTGCGACTGCTGGTTGCGCAGCGACTTGAGCTGGGCCTCCGCCGCCTGCGGGGGCGACGAGACGGGAGTGGGTGTGTCGCAGGAGTGGTGGACGTGCCTCGTGGTGTGAGGCGGGGTGAGCCTAGGGGTGAGCCTAGGGTAGCGATCTCCCTGCCTGCGTACGAGCTCGTTGCTAGAGCTCGCACTAGAGGCCGTCATCGCATTCGCCTTCCTGGGACCCAGTGCTGACTTCTGACTGTCGTTGCTGTCTCTTCCTTCTCGACTGTCTGTGCTTGTGCGTCTTGGGGCCCGGGGTTGTGTTTTGCGTGAGGCGGTTGTGTCGCGGCGTGTCTGTTTTGGGGGAGGCCACACGTGGTCTCAGGGCGCGCCTCGAGCTTGCGCGCAAACTGCTCCCGCAGCGCACTGGTCTTGGCATCGCTCCTCTCCTGCAGCTCCGACATCTTTTTCGCCAGCTCGTCGCGCTCGCGCCTTTAAGTAATGGCCATTCATGGTCATGGATGATCATGAATATTTAATTCAATTAGGCACTCGTCGCGCTCGCGCCCCGTCTCGCGCACCGACGTCTCGAGGGCTGCGAGGGCGCGCTGCAGCTCCTCGAGCTCTTCGGCTGTCGCAGGTCCCGACTGCTGCGACTCGGCGAGCAGCTCTTGCTTCAGCGCCAACGTCTCGGTGAGGCCCGCGAGAGCCTGGTTGCGCAACCAGTCCGGCGGTCACGGGATCCCGAGGCTCCGCTTCGCCGCGCGGATCACAGCGGCATCTCGGTGCATCGGGCATCTCGGGGCATCTCGCCGCCGGGGGGAGGAGGCTGGGTGAGAGCAGCGGTCGAGAGCAGTGGCAGTGGGGCGGGTGTGCTGGGGGGGGGGGGGGGGGTAGTGTGCAGAGACGTAGACGGAGCACAGAGGCAGAGGGCGGCCGCGCGCCGTTCACATCGATCTCGGGTAATCTCGGGTAATCTCGGGTAATCTCGGGCGGGTTAATCTCGGGCGGCCGCGCGCCTCCGACATCGACTCCTGCTTTTGCAGGAACTCGAGCTCCTCCTCGAGCTGCTCCGCCTACCACCAGCCAGCTGACGTTGCCGTGCCGCCGCCGCGATGTAAGGCGCGGCGCGGCGCCACGCAGCGCTCACGCCTTGTACTCCAGGTCCTCCGCGCTCGCTTCCTCCTCCGTCGACCCGTCCGACTCCCGCCCACCAGAGGGCGAGTCCGCGCCGGCGGCGGCGGCCTCGCCCGCGGCGGCGCAGTCGTCTCCGGTGGCCGATGCTCTGATGCTAGCCCGCATCGCGTTGAGCTTTTGCTGCAGCGCGTGGCAACGGTGGAGCGCGAGGTCGGAGGGCGTAGCGATGGCCGCCCCGGTCGCCGCGAAGCACGGCGCGAGCGCAGACTGCCCAGAGATGGAGAAGGTCGCTAGCGGAGGCAACGGTCCGCCGCCCGACTCGTAGTGCTGCAGCCGCGCGGTGAGGGTCGCTACCTGCTCGAGCAGCGAGATATGGGGAGATATGGGGAGATATGGGGAGATATGGGTCGCCACCTGCTCGAGCAGATCCGCACTCATTAAATAGTATGCTAATTAACATTCAATGAGGGTCTCCACCTGCTCGAGCAGATCCGCGATGCGGGCCTGCACCGGGTCCTGCGCGATCAGCAGCTTGTTCTGGATCTGCCGCGCCCGGTTGGCGTACTTGAGCGTGTTGAGCGTCTCCTCCATGTCGGCGTCGCTCGGCGAGACGCACGCGATCATCAGCGTGTGCGCGTTGCCCCCGAGCGAGTCCTGCAGCAGCCGCGTCAGCTTCGAGTCGCGGTAGGGCACGTGGGCGTGCTTCTCGCACAGCGCGGAGATGACGTTGCCGAGGGCGAGCAGCCCCTGCAGAGCAGTGTGACGACCATAAGAGCCGTTGTTCTTGGCCAGCCGGTGATTCTCGCCTCCCCCGTGGTGGTGTGTGCCCAGCCCGTGTCCCGACCCGGGACACAAACCCTGTGAGGACTGAGCATATGGTACGAGGGACCCAGAGCATATGGTGGCCGCACCTTGTTGATCTGGACGCCCTCGGCGAAGCGGTCGCCCGACGCGCCCGTCCGCTTGGCGCGCTCGGAGCCGGCGAGGTCCACAAAGTTGAAGCGCGGCGTCAGCACCTTGCCGCCCCGGAGGCGGAGCTCGATGCTGACGGTGAAGATTGCGTGCGAACGGGACGACGTCGCGTTCATCGCGGTCGCCCCCGTCGCGCGGTTGCTCGAGCCGTCAGACAGCACGGCCATCGCCTCCTCCGGCGATCCAACCGGCCGCATCGCCAGCCCCGGCAAGGCAATCGCGCCCTCCTTCTCGCGCACCTCCAGCGTCGCCAGCTTGGGTGCGCCGTCGGCCGCCGCCGCCTCGATCGGCGGCTGCAGCAGGTCGTGGATGTCCTCCTTGTACACCTCGATAAACGAGGCGCTGGCCGCGAGCGCCGCGCCCTCGAGCTCGCCGTCGCCGCCCGCCACCCGTGCAAAGATCTCGGCGACGGTGCGCGGGATGATCCCAAGCGCCGCCTCGGGCACGGCGCTCGAAGGCGTTCCGATGCTTCCCATTGTGTGCGTCTTGCCCGAGCCGGTCTGTCCGTACGCGAGCACGGTCGAGTTGTAGCCCTTGAGCACGCGCTCTACGAGCGCCTGGGCGCAGCCCTCGTAGACCTCGTGCTGTGCCGCGGCCGTATCGAAGACGTGGTCGAAGGTGAAGGCGCGGTCGGCGCCCAGCACGACCTGCGGCTCGCCGGCGACCTTGCGCAGGATCTCCTGCGCGCCGTCCGCCTGGTCACTCTCCCGCAGCGGCCGAATGCGGACCGCGACGCGCACCGCCGTGGCCTCGCCGCCGTCGGCAGCCTCCTGACGCGTCGCCTACAGTGCAGCAGGTTCGTACGTACGTGGAGCGCGTTGGCTGCCTGGTCCGAACTGCCTTCGCGTACGTCAGTGGACAACAGCCGCGAGGACATTGTGCCTGCGGCGGCGACGGACGTGGTGTCGGGGGGCGGGGTTGCGGGGAGGGGGCGGGCCGCGGGCCGGGCAGACCCCAAGCCCCAGGCGAGCAGGGCGGAGCGGAGCAAGTCAAACAGAGAGCGGAAAAGTATTATCGAGCGAGGTTGGCCACCCCTTGTTTGGTGTGCGCTTGCCCCGCGGGCAGCTTCTCGGCCGAGGTCGGCAGCGCCGCCTGCGAGCTCTGCCCACCTGGAGGATTTTGTGAGGAGGCGGGCGCCGCCACAAGCATGGTCTGGCAGGCTTGTCCCGCGGGGACCTACAATGCCCACTACGGCGGTCTGCGCCCACTTGTACGAAAAGAAGTCGCAGCCCGCCGTCGCTCTGCAGTGCGCCCGACACCCCGCACTGTTGTCCAACATCGCGTCGATCAGCACAACACCCGCGTACCAGCTATCACAGGTGCTACCTGAAAGAGGGCTACACGGAGGAGCGCTGCACCTCGCCGAATGGCTGGATCGGCGGGGAGAACACGCCATATGTGTCGTGGGGTCCCACCTACGTCTATGCCGCTTCGGCCGATCTCTGCAAGCTTTGCCCGGCAAACGCCGACTGCAGCGCCTTCAACACCACCCTCGAGTCCCTCGGCGTGCCACGCGGCTATTGGCGCGCTTCAAGCCTCACCACGGAGCTTCACGAGTGTGTCGCCTCAAATCACTGCAGCCGCTCGGGCAAAGGCGAGCACTCCAGCCGCAGACTCAATGCGTCGGCATCCAGCGGCGGAGCGCACGGCGAGGGCTGTGACGCGGGCCACACGGGCCCGCTTTGCGAATGGTGCACGAGCGAGACAGAGTACTTTAGCCGAGCAAAATACGGGTGGTGTCATAATGACCACTTTTGATGTTTTTTTGCCGTGTTGCTCCCAGCGCCCTCGCCCGCGCTCCCTGAGGCCATGGCTGGTGCTACTAGTATGGGGGGCTACCTGGCTACCGCGAGAGCGACCCAACTCGTCGACATCGTCCGATGATGGTGCCTCAAAGTCAGCCTCCGGAGGCTATCGTCGCGTCGAGCCGGCGGTGGCCGTGCGTGACATGTGGTTCCACCACCCCTCGTAGGCTTTGCCTCTGACCGCCACCGTTCCCAGGCTATCTGATGGGATGGAAAGGAAGGCTGGGCGAGCGTATAGAGAAGCGTGTGCGTGCGGTCGACCTCGTCGTGGCAACCTGCCACGGCACCGCTGGCAGGCGCGATGAGCGTCGTGCCACCTGACCCGAGACGGGTCGCAGGCGTCGTACCGAGCGCGTCGAGACCGTGTCCTGATGCGCTCTGCACGGGCGAGTCACGTCGGCGTCAAAAAGGAGCGACGTGTGACCTGTCAGAGCTTGATCTCCGATCTCAGCGACGTCGAATCGCAACTCTAACACTCACACGTCATTTGGGGCCTGGAGCCCTGTTCACGCGCAAATCTCCTCTCGAATCGCCTTCGGTGGCGACAGCTAGGATGCATCTCCTCGGTCGTTTTTCGCGCGATGGCCCTGAGAAGCTGGCGCCGCACGCAGGCGGACCTTGTGTGTGCGCGGGGAACGCTTTAAATTAAAAAGTGAGAGCTCTCTACGTCACTTTTTTTGAGTAGATAGTGCCGAGCTGGCCGTGACAGCGATTTTGGTAGTTTTTGGCGGGTTTTGCACCACAGACTTTTTGCACCTAGTCGGGAGATCAAAAACGCTCGGGCCTCTCGGCCCTGCGCGTCGCCAAAATAAATAAATAGAGGGGCATCTCCAGGTCTCCAGGAGCTGCTCCAGGAGAGATGCAGATGGGCGACGCACGGACACAGAGGGACAGCGCGCACCCCGCCCCGCTCGCAGGGCGTGCATCAGAGCAATCGCATGCGCACGCGAGGGTGGGGGTGAGGGTGGGGGCGAGGGTGGGGGTGAGGGTGGGGGTGAGGGAGGGGGTGAGGGAGGGGGTGAGGGTGGGGGTGAGGGTGGGGGCGAGGGTGGGGGCGAGGGCGGTGGCGAGGGCGGGGGGGTGCCTGTTGCGGAACACCGTGTTGGCGGGGTAGAGCTGTCAAACGTTAAGAGCTGAACAGTGTTGCTAGTGTTAACAGTAACAACAGAACAACAGTGGGGCTCCCCAACAACAGTAGCTAACGTTAGGCCAGCTGAACAGCAATAAGGAAGGCCTGGCAGTGACCCACGACGATCTCCAGCGTCCAGTGCGGGTAATACCCGAAAATACCTGGAAAAACCCAGGTATTTTCGGGTTTTACCCGGGTTTTTTGGCATTTTCTGCTTGCTGATCACTGAACAACAGTAACAACAGTAACAAACAGTAACAGCTTGGGCTGGGGAGAACACTTGAACAACGTTGAGGATTTTCAGCCAACAATAGTGCAACTGTTAGGCCCAAAGTTAACGTTTGACAGCTCTATGGCGGGGGGGCGACTCGTCTCGGTGTTCTCAGTTCTGTGAGTTCTCGACTCGGACTGTCTGTGCTTGTGCGTCTTGGGTCCGGACCGGAGGTCCGGGGCGATTGAAAAAGAGAAAAAGCTCTGGGTCAAAGAGAGTAACGCCGACCGGGGGCCTGCCGGTCGGAATTGTGCTGCCCCCCCCCCCCCCCCCCCCGCCTTCTCGAGTCCCTGTCCGCGTGTGAGGGTCTGAGGGTGCCCCAGCAGCACCGCCAGCCACGCCCTCGCCCGATCAACACAGCCGCCGCCGGGCTGCACTCCTGAACGGGCGCCAGGGAGCTCGTCGCGCCCCCAGCCCCGCAGCGCTCGGGCCAAGTCGCTACGTCACCGCAATCTGCCAGCGACCCTTCCTCCTCCGCCGGCTGAGCGTGTTGCGCCCCGCTCGGGTGCTCATCCGACTGTGGCGGGCGGGGCGGGAAGAGGGGGTGCGTCAGAGCCCATCGGCGAATCCGGCGCGCGCTCCCACCCTGGGCTGGCGGCGGCAGCGGCAGCATATACACATGTGTGGCGGCAGCAGTTGCGCCCAGCATGGGGCGCGTGCGCGCGGCGCACTGTAGGAAGCCGTGCGTCCGCTTGCGCTTGAGCACGTTCGGCTGGTACGTCCGCCATCCCTTTTTCCCCTTGGCGGCGAGCGGCTCGAGCGAAGACAGTGGGGGCAGCTCCAGGTAGGGCATCTCGCAGGGCGCAGGAGCGTCCACGCCTGCAGCGTGGGCCGCGGTCAGGGCTGCGGGCTTCGTGCATTGGCCGGCTGAGTGCATCGGCCGAGGCGCCACCGAGGCTGATGCTTCCAAAGCACAGGAGCGGCGTGAGCGGCTCTGCGGCCTCCGGCGTCGCGGCGCACCGGAGCGGCGGCGGCGGGGCCAATGGGCGAGCGTCGCCAGCGCCGGGAGTGCGGCAAAAATCGAGCTCGGCGCACAGGGGAGCCAGCCGCGCCGGCTCTGCGCGGAAGAGGGAAACTGTGCGCACGGCCGCGCCGAGCGCTCGCCGCGATCGGAGCAAGCTGCGGCCAAGCATGACGCGAACGTTTTCTTCTTTACCGGATTCTTTACCACGGAGTCCGCGCCCTTTTGTCGTGCTTTCTTAGGTATATTGTTGGCAAATCAAGACACAGATTGTATTTTAAGAGAGAATTCTTGTGTAGAAAGTTTCTTTCTTTATTTACATGTATTACGGAGGCCGAGGCACCGCGCGCACCTGCCGGCGTAGCTCCGTGGGTGGGACTCCGCCTCGGCCTCGAGATGATGGCGCCATGGCGGCAATGATGGGATGTCCACAGGGCTGGAGGACGACTCGCCGCTTTCCTCCCACTGACTGTGAATCTCACACCCTCACTCTCTGATTTTGTCTCCCATGTGAGCTCTGTGTCCTGACTTGCACCAACCAATATACCTACAACAGGGAGCTCGGTGGGTGAGCTACGACGCGGGCGGTTTCGTCCGTGGCGGCAAGATCGATCGGCAGTGGAGACGACTGTGCGGGATGTTCGAAAAAGAAAATATCTCAAGAAGCCCAAAACACGCGCGTGGCATATTGCAATAGGAGGAGAGCTCGATCCCAAGGACGCACGAGTTACTCGGTCATTCGCTGCACGATGCTCCTCGCAGTGCGCGCCTCGAAGCTCCCCCAGCGCGTGGGCATTGCTCGCGCAGTTCGCGTGCTCTCAACCAGCGCGCGCCCTGTTCCCGGTGTTGTTGGAGTAACCCCAAGCGGCGACATCACCTCGGAGGACGTCGTTGCGGCGCAGGCGGCGTGGTCCAACGCCATCACCGGCATCACCAAGGTGTACCAGGAGGGAGGCGACTTCGTCGCGGCCGCTGGGTACTGCGCGGGCGAGCTGTACGGCTATGGCCACTCCAACGTGCTCTTCAAGCCAACCAGGGCGACGAACAACCCGTTTCGCCCGACGGGCGAGGACGCGATGGCCTACTTTGTGGGCGCAGAGGCGATGAAGAACGACAAGTTCAAGGTGCGCGCCTCCCTCGCGTCGCTCCTGCGCCCTTCCCCTCTCTCTCACGCGCGCACCCCCCCCCCCCCCCCTTTTGCCACACAGGGCGAGGACGGTGGCTTCGCCATCAACGGCGGACAGGGCTGGTCCGAGGTGGTGTTCCGCAACCACCAGATCGATTGCAACGGCAACACGGCTATCGCTATGGGCGACTACCTGTTCACGAACGCGACCACTGGCGACAAGGGACGCGTCGAGTACACCTTCGGCTACAAGAAGAACGATGACGGCAAGATGCGGATTTTCCTGTGCGCGCCGCCCCTGCCCCAGCTTCTCGGCTGATCTCGGCTCCCGCCCCTGCTCCCGGCTTGTATCTGGACTGATCTCGGCTTATCTCAGCCTGCGGCGCTCCATGCAGGCACCACTCGTCTATGCCGTACGAGCCCACCGCGGCGGCATCCGCGACCGCGGAGCCAGTTGAGGAGGCTCTGTCGATGTGGGCCGAGTCGATCGCCAAGCAAGATGCTCTCCTTCGCGACGCACGCGTCCGCGTCAGCGGGATGAGCAAGCCCTAGATAGGATATGCCTATGAGAGGCGCTAAGTAGTTAGTTGGTGGGCGCACATGCCCAGTCCAGCGGTGGAGTGGGGCGCTGTGACAACACCCCCAAGCGCACTGGGCCTCGCACTATTGTATTTTTCGTACAATTTAGATTTGAGAGGCACGAGGGTCGTGTCTCTCCAGATAGCGCAAGCGGGCGCGCGTACAAAAACAGTAACGGAGGGTCAAAAAGTCATAGCAGGTTTGCAGCCGCGCGCATATTTCTTCTCCGGGAGTACGGAGATCCCCGCTGCAACTAGCCGCACGACTTGCCGAAGCGTCTCTCGCTCTCGACCTGCGCGTCCCAGGCCTCCTGCGTCAGCCCCCTCGGCCGCCGCGCCGGCCGCGCCCTGCCCCGGTCAGGCCGCCACACCCCTTCGGCCCAGCAGCGCTGCAGCTTTCTCCGATTGCAGTGCCGGTGTGCAGGGAGGGGCGGGAAGTTGGCGTGGGGCGAAAAGACCGTCTCGAGGACATCCTGTGCGTGCGCGCGCGCGCCGTCACAGCGTCAGCGCGCCCCATTCGCGTGGAGCAGAGAGCACCCGGGGCTTACGTTGCCTGCTCCCCCATCGTGTAGGGCATATAGTCGCCGTTGCGAGCCATGTCGGCCAGCGTGCGGAAGAGCAGGCGGTTCGGCTGCAGGTAGATCAAGTGCGAGTTGATCCCCAGCCGGTCGCGTTCTGCCACCTGCGCTCCTGGGCTCGGGGATTGTGCCGTGGCGCGGCCAGAGGGGGCGGTGGTGGGACGGCGGGGTGAGCCTCGTGCGAGGCGATGAAGTACTGGTTCGCCTTGTACTGTGCCTCCATCCATGGTCCGGGATCGGAAAACATGCAGACGTCCGAGTCGCTCACCTGGAGACGAGGGAAAGCGAAGTCCGCGCCCGCCCCAAAAGGCTCTCTCTGTGCGTCTTGGGCGCACCATGACCGCATCGAACTGCGTGAAGTTGAAGGCCAGTAGCTTCATGCTCGTGCACCTGCCGTCCAGCGGGGTGCATGTACACGCGGCGCCGCGTGCGCCGTGCCGGCGACGCGTGAGGCGTCTGCGCAGGGCGCCGCGCACGTGTGATCCTGCCGCCATGTCTGCACGCGCCCGTTTCGCGGCCACAGGTGCGAGTCCGACGGCGCCTGCGAGCGACGCGAGCTTCCACGGGTGCGCCTCCGGGCCAGCGGCGGACACCGTGCCCGTGTGTGCGGGGCCGGGCGCGAGGTTGCAAACAAACGCGCCAGGATCGGCTTCATCGCAAACTCGGAAAAGTTGAGGTGCGAGGCGTCAAAGTGCTCAAACCCACCCTCGGCTGCCATGCGCGCCGCCATACGTGTCGGGTAGCCGTACGTGACCAGGATGCGCGGTACGGTGGAGCCAAAGTTCTCGAGCGAGTGGCCGACCTGCGGCCGGCGGTGCGGTGCGGTGGAGTGGTGGGGGCTTGGCGGGGAGGCGCGACGAGGGCGGGAGAGGAGGGTCGGGGAGCGAGTCCTCGGATGCCGCAACAATCACGTCGTGGGGTTCGATGCCAAAGATGGGTCGGACGCGCCCTCCCCCGTTACAGGCAAAGACGATGAAGGCCAGCCGCGGCGGCCGCGACGCCTCGCCGAGCGCGCTGCGGTTTGGCGGCGGCACCGGCGGCACCGGGGGTGTGGGCACAGGCAGCAGACTCGCCGCGGCGACGCCTCGGCCGCGAACCTGCCTCGTGTAGTAGAGGGCGCCGGCGTGCGAGGTGTAAAGCGTCGAGGTGCGGCACTGGTGGAACCACTTGCACACGCCCTGGCTTGCATTGTGCCGGCCGGGCCGGTACGAGATGTAACCGCAGCGGGTGCAGGCCCTGCAGCTCTCCACGCACCCCGCGATGGACGCGGAGGCGGAGGGGTCGGTCCAGGTCCCTCGAAAATCGAGCTCGCAGTTTCCCGCCGAGGCCTCTGAGTACTCGCAGACGCCGCGCCGCACCGCCGCATGGCCGGCCTCGCGGGGCATTGTCCAAACTAAGTTGGGGATGCGTCCCCCAAACTCCGAATTCGGCCGCCGAAAGGTGTGCCGTGAAATTTCTATTCACATCTGAGAATGGCGTCGCTAGCTGGAACGGGCTCGGTCGGGGAGCGGACGCTCTTTCTCGGCGGCGGCCGCAGCCATTGCCGCAGCCGTGAATCATCGAACGTTGCTGCAAGGCGAACGACAATTCTTATACTCTAGGTAGGTACCGGTAGGTAGTAAGGTGAAGAACAGCCAGGCTCGGACTGGACACCAACGCGGTATGGGTGGACGCTAGACAGATGATGACGACACGCACGAGCGACACACAGACACAAACAAGCTCACAAGACACACAGCCAGCGGGCTGCCACACACCCTGAGTCGGCGTACACATAACTCAGGGCCACATCCTCCCTGTCGCCCCCCCAGCACTCCACGGTGCCAAGGGAACACACAAGGGCACAACAAACAACAGACGAAAGGAAGTAACGTGCTAGGCTAGAGCAGACCGCTCCGCCTCTAGCAATCTCGCCGGCCGGCGAGGCACGGACGAGACCGTGTGTGGGGTCTAAGTGAGGTGTCTATGGACGCTCTCCTCACAGGCTAGCTGCCTGCGGCTAGCCCTATCTCGCTATCACAGGCGATGACAACCCAATGTATGAGTGTATGCAAGCTGAGGCGCGTGTGCTAAATCTAGGCCGCACGTCGTGGCATTCTCTCTTCTCGAAGAGATTCTCCTGAAAAAGAAACTCAATCTGCGAGCTGCAGCTGCCTGTGGTCCCAAAAGGCCAGATATCGCATCGGTGTTCCTCACCGACACGCGCCTCTCGCCGCGCATTGCCCTGCACCCGAGCCCCCTCCCCACGACTCCCCTCCCCACAACTCCCTCCACGCGGCGCGCGCCCCACGGTGCACCCCTCGCCCCGCTCTGACGGGCTCCGCGCGCTGACGCGCCTAGCGCTGCGCGCAGAACACAAAGAGACGTAAGCCATGCCCAACCTCCGCTGCGAGCGCTTCGGCCCCTTCGACGTTGAGGAGCTCAAGGAGGAGCTCGAGAACCTCGAGTTCGAGTACATGATGGACCTGGCGCCGTCGCGGCCGCCGACTGTCGTTCGGCTGTGCGAGTGCAAGGACGAGGACTATGAGGGCTACCACGTGCGCGTGTTCGTGGGCGACTACGAGTACTGCGTGGAGGAGGGCAACGAGGCCGAGGAGGTCAAGGCGATGCTCGAGACCATGTCGTACGAGACGTACGCCGAGCAGGACCTGGACGGCGTGCCGCGCTTCCACAACTGGTACATGGCGCTGCCGGGCAAGTCCCCGTACGACAAGACGTACATCGAGGAGTGCAAGAAGCGCGCCGACGCCTTCTTCAAGGAGAAGGAGGAGCGCAAGAAGAAGGAGGACGAGGAGGCCGCCGCGCGCGCGGCCGAGGCGGCGTCGGCCGCAAAGCCATGGACCGACACGCCTGAGGCGGAGCGCAACGTCGCCATCCTCTTCCCGGGCCAGGGCACGCAGAAGGTGGGCATGGCGGCGAAGCTGCTGGAGAACAAGACCGCGGCCGCCATGTTCGAGATGGCCTCAAAGGTTCTCGGCTACGACCTGGTCGGGCTCTGCGCGCAGGGGCCGCAGGAGAAGCTCGACAGCACGCTCTACTCGCAGCCCGCCATCTTTGTCTGCTCGCTGGCGGCGATGGAGAAGGCGAAGAAGGAGGCGCCAGAGATGCTCAAGAAGGTCAAGGTGGCCGCGGGCTTCTCGCTCGGCGAGTACTCCGCCCTCGTCTTCGCCGGCGCGCTCACCTTCGAGCAGGGGCTGAAGCTCGTCAAGGCGCGCGCAGAGGCGATGGACGCGGCTGCCAACGACCCGAAGAACAAGGGCGCGATGGCGTCCGTCTCGGGCGCGTCGGACGCGGTGCTGCAGGACGCGCTCGACAAGGCCGCCGCCGCGGTCGGCGGCGGCAAGAAGGCGTACATTGCCAACTACATGTTCCCGGAGGGGGGAACCTGTTTTGGGGACCCAAAGGTTCCTTCCCCCCCCCCCTTTTTCCCCCCTGGTTGGGCCGCGCCCTCGGCGGGCCCCGCGCGCGCCGCGGGCGCTTGACCCCCCCCCCCCCCCCCCCAGGTCCTCGAGAAGCTTTGCGAGATCGTCGTCCCGATGGGCGCCAAGAATGCAAAGATGCTTGCCGTCTCTGGCGCCTTCCACACGCCCTACATGCAGCCCGCCGCCGATGCGCTGGGCAAGGCGCTCGACGAGGCGCCGATCCAGATGCCGTCCATCAAGGTTTACTCCAACGTGACTGGCAAGCCCTACGCCTCGGTCGACGAGATCCGCGGCCTGCTCAAGCGGCAGCTCTGCGAGCCAGTCAAGTGGGAGCAGGGCACAAAGGACCTCGTCACGCTCGGCTGCACCTCGTACGTTGAGCCGGGCCCGGGCAAGCAGCTCAAGGCCATGATGCGCCGCATCGACAACGACGCCTGGAGCAAGACCACCACGCTCGAGGCGTGAGAGAGGTCGCTTGTGCACGCACACCCTCCTCGGCGGCGATCTGTGCATCTGCACTTTTGCTTCAGAGGCCTTTTGCTTCTGGCGGGGCGCGGTATCACACGTGTTAGTTTACAGTTATGTGCAGTCTGAAACTGCAAACTCGAAACGCGAGCGAAACCAACGGAAAGCACAAAGCAGCTCGCGCGGGGGCGCACGCTGCCGACCGGCCACCGCGCACCGCGCGCGCTGGGACCTGTGGAGTTATAGCCCGGTCGAACACTGCCCAAACAAATAAATTCCCCCTTTGAGCTGAGAGGTTTTGGGATTTCGCTCCGAGCGACGGTCCAACGAGAATCGTCAAAATCAGGCAACAAGAGACCGAGGCCACTTCTTCAGGCTGGGAACCGAGGGGTGGCCACCCTCCTCGTCGAGGTGTGCGCCAAACCACTTCGGCGGCGCGCGCTCCCCTGTGCGTCTGTGTCACCCTCCAGGCCCTCACGCCCCCCCGGCATGTCCACCGGCAAGGAGGCTTCCGTGCCGAGTGACGCGGCGGCCACGGACAGACTCAACGGCAGCGTCGGCGCCGCTGCCAAGCGGCCGCGCGACAGCGAGGGTAGTCACCACTTGAGGTGGGACGGTCGAGGCACACGACGGAGCCATCGCGAGCGGCCTTCTACACCGCCCGCCGCCGGCGCAGGCGCGGAGCGCTACGGCGGACCTGCTTCAAACCCCAAGGCGGAGGCGCTGAGCGAGAATCTGGGCTGCGCGCACGCGCATGGCTGCTGCGAGAGCTCGGAGGCGGAGCTTGCTCGAGAGCTGCTCGAGCTCATCACTGCGCCCGACGCTGACGTTGGTGGCGCGATCAAGCTCTTATTTTCTCAGCCTCGCACCTCTTCTTCCCGTCGCACGCGGGCTGTCGCATGGCACTTGGAATATGACTCGGGCGAGGATGCGTCAGCACGAGTACTATTTCATCGTGCAGCGCAGGCTGGCTCGCCACTACTGTTGGCTGGAGCTCCTCTCCCGCCCGACGTCGGTGATGGCGCATGACACGCGATCACTGTACGCATCGGCTTCCTGTGTGTGTCTCCCCCCTCCCCGCCGCAGAGCCGCTGCTGGGTGTCGGCCGCGCATCTCCTCACGTCCCGCGCCTGTCCTTTACGGCATTTGTGTGGCCCGTTTTCTGTGCATCGTTAGAAGCTGCGCAGGCCTCCCGTTACAATCGCCGCGCGCACACGACACGCGACAGCCGACACCTCGACAGGAGAGAGTTTGACGTTCTTCTCGTGAGACTTGACTTCAGACGATATGCGAGACAGATATATCTCAGAGTGAGAGGACAGCCTGAGCCTCGGAGGAGAGACGCAGCTCGCAGGTACAGGCGTGACAGACAGTACACTCTCACACACGAGACACACTGATGGAAAGGGCGGAGCGGCGGCGGCGACGGCGGCAGCGGTGCGCGGGCGGAGCAGCGACTGCCCGGGCGGTCGCTGCTCCGTCGGTCCGTGCCGGAGCGCGCCATCTGCGCAGGGTCGCGCGTCAGGCCAGGGGGCAAGGCGCAAGCGTCCCCCTGGTGGCGGCGCAGGGAAACGCGGAGACGCGAGCGTTTCGCACGCCGCGAAGCGGACGGTGACGGCGCGGTGGGTGACGGGGCTAGAGAGCAGCCAACACCCGACGCTCGCAAACGACGTCGGTGCTGGACGCCTGCGTAGGGGCCGCGGCAAGGCGGAGCTGGCTGAGGCACCAAGCGCCGGCGGGGAGCTCCCGGACTCATGTGTGCGAGCGCATGCCCTCCCACCTAATCACCGCTGCATAGTATGGCTTCCGAGGCTGAACCGCTCCGCAACGGTTGGTAGCTCGACCTGCACATTGACAAAGTGCGTTTACCTGTCACTCGTCGACGTCGCGTGCGAGATCCAATATCGCCGATCGATAGCAATCTGAGAGGATAGGGATCCGTGTCAGCATGCCGTAGCCGAGGAGTGCCGCGCTTGGGGGTTGGGGCGCGCGCGCATTGGCTTCACATTCGGTCTCAGCGCTCGGGCCGGCGCCGGGGGTCATGGGGCGACACTCGGTCACGCTCCGGCGCTTCGGGGGGGCTACAGCGGGCAGTGCGCGAAACCACTTCGCATGGCCACCCGCGACCCCACTTTGGACCGGCGAGCGCACTTGCTCGGTTCCCAGCCTGAAAATGTCACCTCAGACCGGTAGCGCCAGCATGTCGGTGCGTCTTTCTCATGCTCGCGCGCCCGCCGCGCCCGAACTATGCACGGGCCCGGCTCGCCCGCTTGGGGATCCACCCGGCACATCCCCGCCCCCCACCTGCCGGCTTTGCCTGCCGTCAGTTCACGCGGGATCGCCCTCAACTGTCAGCAACACAAATCCACCAGCCTGCCTTCAGCCTCGCCTCACAGCCGACCTTCTGGTCGTACGCGGGTTCTTAAGGGTCGTACATGCCGGCCATGACGTCTGCCAACCGGCCGTTCGCAGGCGGTAGCTTCGCACGCCCCCGACAGCTCCGAGAATGACCCGCGCGAGAAGTGCGCGTCGGCGGCGCACTTTTCCTCCCAGGCTGTGACTGCTGCCCTGGCCACCCTGGCCTCCCTCGAGGGGTCGCCAGGACCCGCCGCGGCCCTGGCGCGGCCCACGGGCGGCTTGATGCTCATCGACGCCTTCACCCTCGTCGGCCTGGCCGGAAAATACGCCAGCCGCTCGGGTGCCGCCCGCCTCCTAGAGGCCGAACCACCAGTGCTGTGAGTATTGACGCCCTCCCTGCACCTCAGGCGCGTCCCTCGCCCTCGCCGCCGCCGCCGCCGAGCCCGCCGCCGCCCTCGCCGCCGCCGCCCTCGCCGCCGCCACCGTCGCCGCCACCGCCGAGCCCGCGCCGCCGTCGCCCCCTCTGCCGGCGCCTTCTCCGCCCTCGCCACCCCCACTGTCGCCTTGCCCCCACCAAGCCAACCACCGCCGTCGCCGCCGCCGCCCAGTCCGCCTCCGCGTCACCGCTGCCTCCCTCGCCGCCGCCCCCAATCCCGCACACGGCCGCTGCCGCCGAGCCCGCCGCCGCCATCACAACCGCCTCCGAGACCCGCCGCCACCAAGCGCCCTGACCCCTAAGTTACGTCGATGACTCCTCCCGCGCAACCC